ATGTTAAAAAATTCACTTATAGATCCAACTTTATAAAACGCACTATATAACGCAAGAAATAAGTTTTTTCTTACTTGTTAGGGAATGAACTTTAGAAGTTATTGAGTTTTGTAGCAAGACGAGATGAGTATTCTCAAAAGTTTGTTCCAAGCATTAGGATGTGATTACATTCATCACCAGGATGCTGAAAATAACTTTAAAAGGCGGACATTTTCCTAGGCCTTTTGTAAAAATTGCGTATCTGTGATCTATAAGAGCCATTTAAATTTTCATAACCTCATTTTAAAAGATCAAAAGTACCGATATATCGTGAATCTACGGTTTGATTAGCATACTGTGGTTTATCTTTGAGTAATCTCTCTTACGTAATGTAACGTAAGTAAACAAAGCAATTCTATTAAAGGTAAATGTGTCATATTATTTTGGTACAGATACATTTGGGGTCCAACTGTTAATAATATGAAATGAAAACGTAAATTTGGGCAATTATTTTGAATCCTTTTGCCATTAAATTTGGACCTAACAATGTGCAATTGCGAATAGCGTTTAATGCCTGGATGTACTGAAATTACCGTCATCCATTCAAACTGTTATTTTCGGGCGTATGTTTACCCCATGCCCTCCTAATGTGCTTCCTTTGTGTGATATAAAATCGAATTTCGAACAATTACAATGTAGATATATGGATTGTTTGATAAGCTTTCAGAAATCTTTAAAAAAATAGTATTTTTATTTCTATTTGCTTATTAAATGATTCTCAACAGTAGAATAAAATAGAACTTCGATTGGCTATAACAACGCATCATAATGTTTAATCCTATTTATGTAAAAACAATCAGTACAAGTCTTTACTTTTCTTTGTCCATTTAATTAGTATTTAGAAACAAATTCATATTAAAACACTAATATTCTTATTGTTCGCGCTCATATGCAGCAATAAAATAATTAGAAATGGCTACAATTTTGTCAAATATTATACCAGTTAAAAATAAGGCTAACATAAACTCGTGGAAGATACTAGTAGACAGCCAATGTGCAGATTTGTGACTTATTTTTTTATGGCTAAATGTATTATTAAATTGTGCTGTGATACTGTCCAACGAATTCACGAAAGCGCTACATTCAGACTGGGGCGCTTAAGTATCTATAGTAGATTCGTGATCGAGCCGGAGTAATAAATCTGTCAGATCAGGAAATTTCAGGTGTGGGTGCCTATATTATTATTTGCGGGGTACATAAAATCATCATTTAAAAATATATTTATTTGAATATGTGTTATTGAGTATTATTTCGGTATGTGAGTTCTTTACAAAATGTTTTTTGAGTTATTTGCAATTGATATGTAAATGTTAGAGTTATCTATTTGAGTAAATTAACAACAAAATATATAACAAATATTTTTCAAGACCTATAAATTTGACTATCAGGTATACCTACATTAAATTGTTTAAATCGTTATTCATCATTGACTTCTTGGAAATTTTTTTCAAGAAATCTAAAATCTAAGGGTTAATCGTTATTTTATCATCTTCTTGGAGATTACTAATGCCATGGAAAAAACAAAATGATAACAAGGGGGTGGGATTATAAGATGGTAACCTAGCTAGGATTTGGTATGAAGATAAGATAGGAAGTTGCAGTTAGTATATTGATCGGTGTCTTCTTAGATGGGGACTTCTTACTTGGGGACTTTACCTGTTAGACCTAAAATTATTCTTATTTGGGACCGCAATTATTTTGATACCTTTCTATGAACCCTTTGGTTTCTTACTTGGCCCCTTTTACCTGAGAGTGTGATTAACATTTCGTTCAATAACTTCTAAATGGTTTCATTAAAACTCATAAGGAATACACACTCATTTAACCCCCATTATATATTAATAAAAATGTACAATACAGAAGTTTCTTTATTAAATGTAAGATTAAATAAATAAACCGTAGATAATTGCATGAAATGTAATTAAGATCAAGTACTTGTTATTTTCGGCCATACCTGATACGAGATTAATTTTGGGATAAATACCGGCAGAAATCTGATGATAACATTACTTCCAGCTTTTATTTCGTGCTTGCTTCACTATTTTCGATTGTGTCATGGAGTGTCAATTCATCGATAGTACAGAAGGTAAAAATATATTATTGGAATCTGGCTATAAATCCTACTTTAAAAGAGAGAACAAAAATTCGACGACTTTTTGGATCTGCAGTAATAAAAAAACCTGTTCTGGTAATGTAACTACTTCGTCAAAAAACTATACATCAACTATACATCAATGTGTCTCCAATGTTGCCGTCAATGATATAAATGTCTGTCTTGATAAAGCTAAAAAGAGGTCAAGAGAAGAATTAGTGCCAGTTACACAAATTTTCGAACAAGAAATGGCTCCCCTTAGGGATTCTGGAATGGAGTTTGTTAGCAACCTTCCTATATTTGCTTGGATTACCTTTATATTTTTTTTTTGTTAAAGGTACACCCTATTTCTTGATGTAGGGTCCTCTTCCTCCTCCGGCACGTCAGCCGGGTCAGACAGCGGTGAGTCCCCTAAAAGAGTCCTCTCCTCGTCTTCATCTAGATCGCGTGCTGTGGATTCCAAGTCACCTATTTCCATTGGAGCGTCAGTTTCTTGTTCTGTAGTCACACTTTCTTGTGATTCTACGACCAAGGACTGATTCTCCTCTGGTATGTTTTTTCCTACCTCAGTAGGTGTTTCTTTTGCCTGAGAAGTTTCAGGAGCAGCAGGAGTAGCCCGTTCCGTCTTTCCTCCAATTTCTTTTATCGAGATATTGGATTGGCAAAATTTAGAAACAGTATTCCCTGCTTCTCCTTTATCTTCTCCCAAGAAACGGAATCCATGGTTATGAAAAGTTGCTGTCCCCTAAGGTCCAACTTCCTTCCAGTAACCCTCCAGTACCCCGTTTGGAGCCCCGAATTTTGGATTCTCAGTCTCTTCATTATTCTTTCCAGTTCCACTGCGGGTCCCGGTATCCATGTCATGGTAAACTTAGGTTTGATTACTTCCCAGGAGTCTATGACTTTGAGTTTAGCACCATCTTAAGGTACCATGCTTTTGACGGTCTGCTCAACCCAATCTCTCGTTGCTTGATCAACGCAAGAAAGGTTTAAACTTATGTTTCTTATCCTAGCTTCAAAGAACCTGGGTGAAAGTCCTCATTCGTCTATTCTTCGAGTCTGTCGAGCTGTGCAGTCCTTATTAGGTCTCCTTGCTCCGTTGTTAGTGTATTATTGGGATAGTCTATTGGTACAATGGCCACCCCAATATTGCTTACCTTCGAGGCGTAAGAACACGATGCTACCGGCTCAGTACCATCCGGCCCCACATTTGATGTGGTACCAGTTGGTCCCGAACCCGCAGCTCTCGCATCCTTAGCCCTTTTGGTTTTTCCTTTTTCCGGCGTGCTGGTATCGGACCGGTTTCTCTTTTGAGCTCCGGTTCGTCCCTGCTCGCTGAACACAGCATTAGCTGTGTTTTTTTGTTTTGCCATCCCTGAGGTACTAGGACTCGCGTTTTGTTCCATCTCCGTAGATAAAGGACGAGACGCTTGCCCCCGTTCCCCTGGTCCAGCATTCGTTGGTCGTATGGCGTTTTGTTTTGCTATCCCTGAGGTACTAGGACTCGCCTTCCGTCCCATCTCCGTAGATATAGGGCCAGATGCTTGCCCCCGTACCCCTGGTCCAGCATTCACTGGCATAGTGGTCCGCTCTGTGCCGGAAGAACTAGGTCCAGCCTTACTCCCCCCATCTAATGATGCGGAGGATGCGCCGCCCTGTCCCTCCTGCTCAGAGGTCCTTCTAGTGCCGGTGTTTTGTCGGAGTTTCTTTTGCTTTCGCCTGAAAGCTCCAGGTTTTTTTTGGTGTTTTTTGTTGTCCTTATTTTCCATATAAGTCCCACGAGTAGCTAGGGAAAGATTCGTCAATCCTGACAGAGTCCCGCATTATCAGGAGAAGGCTGGTTACTTAGGGGTGTCGCCCGGTGCCCCCAAGGGAACGTTCGATGTCGCATATACCCCTGCGAAAATTCATCCGTCGGCACGTTACCTTACACCTTAGATTGGGGGAGTTGGTTCGCGGCGGTAGACTTCGCAAAAGATTTTGAGAGTTTTTAGGCTCTCTCACTCTACTTATTCTGTCCGTCCTCCCATCCACCACCTGGAGACGCACTCAGTAGGCACTCAAACGCTGAGTATGATTGGTTAATTTGCAGTTAAATTTTATTTTTAAATATTTGTTTATAGGATCTTCGTTCAAATAAATTGTAATTGGGGGATCTCAATTTATTTGAATTATGATTGGTTAATTTGTAGTTAAATTTTATTTTCATATATTTGTTTATGGATCTTCGTTCAAATAAATTGTAATTGGGGGATCTCAATTTATTTGAATTATGATTGGTTAATTTGTAGTTAAATTTTATTTTCAAATATTTGTTTATAGGATATTCGTTCAAATAAATTGAGATTGGAGGGTTTCAATTTATTTGAATTAAGATTGGTTAATTTTCAGTTAAATTTTATTTTCAAATATTTGTCTATAAGATTTTTGTTCAAATAAATTGTGATTGTGGGGATTTCAATTTATTTGAATTATGATTGGTTAATTTGCAGTTAAATTTTATTTTCAAATATTTGTTTATAGGGTTTTCGTTGAAATAAATTATGATTGTGGGGATTATAATTTATTTGAATTATGATCGGTTAATCTGTAGTTAAATTTTATTTTCAATTATTTGTTTATAGGTTTTCGTTCAAATAAATTTCCATTGGGGGTTTTAATTTATTTGAATTATGACCGGTTAATTTTTATTAATCTTTTTATCCGCCTACTTATTTAAATATTAATTCATTATTTTGTTTGGAGGTTTGAAATTATTTTCATTGATTTTTATGTACTTTTAATCTATCGTAATAACAACAAAATCAACTAAAAATATAACCCTAAATCCAAGTTCAATTCTAAAACTATATTATATTTTTTATTATAGGGATATACTAATCAATACATTTAGTATATTTTACGCTTTATTCAATGTGACAGTTGGTCTTGCAGTCTACGTTGCTGATATTATAGATGGGTCCCATCCAACAGCTGAGGTACGTAACATTGTTATTTCTCTTATGACTAAAATATATTTTGTTAAACTATTTTATGAAGGAAGAACGTTGATAAGTCTATGCATAATTCAGGAAACTAAATCTTTTTTGAAAAAAATTATAGAAATTCGAGAATATATCGGAAACAAACAACCTATTGAAAAAACTCAAAAAAATTTTTGAAAATAGTCTTCTTTCAGATTTATACTTTTGCTCTTCAAGACCTATTATTAACCATACAAAAAATAAGAACTATTAAAATATTCGATTTGATTCGATTTGAAGCTTTGATAGTTTCAGTAATCGATGATAATTTCTTACTAAACCATTTTACACAGTTGAGGCAACAGTTCTATCGTTATTGTACGTGTATGTGACGTTGTGTCGATAATAGAGAGATATTGCAGTACAAGAGGACACCAAATATGTAATCACTTTTTAACCATAATAAAGAGCTAATACAAACCTTCCATATACCAGTGCATTTATAGAATTATAATGACTCTAATGCTATATATGTTGGCCAACCAGGTAAAAGAACAAGAAGCCGATGTTTAGAAGATTAGAAAAATTATGGTCCTTGAGCCGTATTCTTCTAAACGTTTAAATCAAATTCAGCAATGAAATAAGTGAAATTAACATTAATAATTAAATATTTTAAAAATAATTTCAACTTAATCTTTAATTTTACACGACTTATCAATTATCTTCCCATATTCTTCGTTCTTTCAATATCCTCTTTTTTTTGTAGATTTTTAGTTTAGTTCTAGTTTCAATAGCCTGTATATATCTACTTTACCTGATTATTGATATTTCCATATTTATGAACAAAAAACGATCGTACGAGCAACTAATAGAGAAAAATCTCCCCGAAAACATAGACATAACTGAGACACCGGATGGTACATTTCAGTTCAACATAGCACTTCCGGAAATTGTAAAGATGGGAAAGGATATTAAACACGATTACTGCTTTAATAAAGATAGGCATAGTACAAATTTTTACCTAAAAATAGGAGCAGCAGGTACACGATAATTTCATTAGATTTTTTATTAGTGTAAGAACGAATATATCAGGGGCGTGCGGTCCATAGAAGCGGGGGAAGCACCGCTTCCCTACACTGTGAGATTTAAAAATAAATATTTTTTTGTTTATAATGCATAGAAATTAATAATAAATTAGGTACTTTATTTTATCTGAAACATTACGTAAACTTCGTATATGTACTAACAATTCATTAGTGTAATGTGTAAACGCACGCACCATCCATGAGAAAATTAATTGTTTTAACGCACACACCATATACTTCAAGTCCGTCGGCGGAAGCGCTTCTTGAAAAAGACGGCTCATCTTCCAATTGATTTCGCTTCGTGTTATTGGCTGTGCTTTGTCGCTACAGTAATCAGTCTGTTTGGACACATGAAATACGGTCGAGAGGCAGCGATTTTTACGTCACCCTACGTCGCACCGCGAATCGACGTGTGAGGAAAATCGTAGACTTCAGATAGATTTCGGTTTGTTTTTCGTAGTTGTTTTTCTTTTTGTAAAATGGAGGTACTATGCACTGTACCTGTGAACAATAATAATGAGGTAAATTGTGTCTGTAGTGTGTGCTCTTTATTGAAAAAAGGATTTTCAAGTAGAAATTTTGAAGAGAAAACGGATATTAATAATTCTAGTAGACTAAAGGATCCTATAAATTTAGAGACGAAAGTAGAAAAGTCAGCAAAGTAATTTATCAGGCATTTTCACGTAGGGTTCTATGAAAAGTATGAGTGGTTAACCGGCTGCAAAACTTTGAAGAATTTGTTTTGCTGGCCTTGCCTACTTTTTATTATAGTCGAAAAAACACATTGGAACTCAGTCGGTATTACAGACTTGAATAATTTTCACAAAAGTGTAAAACGACATGTAAATAGCAAATCTCTGCTACAATTAAAGAAAAAACATTCTGGACCTATCGCATTGAACATAATTTGGACAATCATTTAAAAATAAGCAACAAAATTCAAAATGGAAGGGTAAAAAAATAGGGACGTCTTACAAGTTACATCTTAATGGATGTAACTTGTTTCCTGAAAGAGCATGAACTAAGTTTAAGGGGTCTCAATGAAGAAAGTGGATCCGCCAATCGAGGAAATTACATGGACCTTCTAAGTTTTTAGTAAAATACGATAATACCCTAAAAAATAATTTTATTGACTCGACGACTTTCCGAGGTACCTCAAACAGAATCCAAAATGATTTAATTAAATGCACTGCCGACGTTGTGATGGATCACATTAAAAGTGAAATTAATAAAGGCACCTTTCGTATCAATTGCGCTTGATGAAACCACAGATGTAGCAAACTTAAGTCAATTATCCATTTTTGTGTGATATGTATTGGATGGCATTCCTCAAGAGCGATTCTTAGAATTTTTTGACGTCACTGGCGAACGAACTGCAGATGCATTGTTTAAAATTGTTTGTGACATTATTTCAAGTTTAGAATGTGGTTCTAACCTTGTTGCCCATAGCTACGATGGTACTGCCGTAATGGCTGGCCATTTAAGAGGTCTTCAAGCTAAAGTAAAAGAAAAGTTTAAACATGCAATTTTCGTTCACTGTATAGCACATATACTCAATTTGGTTTTATCGCGAAGCATGGATAATATTAAAGATTGTAAAGTTTTCTTTTCGACGCTTGGTGGTTTTGGCTTCCTTCTTTTCAAAGTCATCGAAAAGAACTTGATTGCCAGGGGGTGGCTCTGTGGGGGTTCGCGGGGGGTGAATTGGGTAAGAAATGGCAGCGTGCATGAAAGTCGCTCCAAACTCGTTACTCGGGAGGTTTTCGGGGATGCCTAATGGTAAAGGAGAAAGTGAAAAATCACAAATTATGAAAATAATACTTCATTTAAATAACAAATAGGAGTTTTTATTAATGTTGAATTATTCATTATCAACTTCAATTTTTAACTTAAATACTAAACATCTTGTTCAAACTCTTCTTCCCCTTCTTTATCTTCTCCCCCTTCCTTATCTTCTTCCTCGTCAGTATCCTCGGCCCCGTTGGAAGTGCCTTTTTGGTTTGAGCAATCGCACGTTTTACTATCTCTCTAGCACATATTTATTTGCTCCGATCTTAAAACTTTTAAGCATGGTCAGAGTATTCCTTGAACAGTTTTTTGCAGGCAAGATTATTCGATTATTTTCGTAATTAAATTATCTCTCTTTTTATATCAATTGGTATTGGTTGACATATGGGTTTAGTTACCTATATTGACTAAACTGTTCACACCTGCTTGCCAGGTAGCCATAACAAGAATTAAGTAGACAAGCCTACCGTGCATATTCTCCATGTTAAAATCTATCTGTTAAAATTAAATTTGTTCAGATATCAGAAAAATAATCAAAATTTATTTAATTAAAAATCGCCATGAACACTTTTTGAATGGCAAGTTCCCATAGGAGTGTTACTAAATCAATAAAATTTCATAAAAAATATGCCTCATCTGGTTATCAGATGGGTGAAGGTCAACCTCTCACGGTCTCTTCTACTACAAGGGACAATAATTAGTAAAATTGAGAAGCATTTTCGGGAGCTTGGACATGCAATGCAGATAAAAAATCAGCTGTCAATGCAGTAACTAATGATACCAAATTGGATAGTATGCTTAAGTTTCAGGAAAATCCACATACTTCTAGTCGACATTGATATTAACCATTCTCGATTATTTGAACATTTAAAGAAAATATTATGCTTTTTTTCTAATGAGTGTACCTTTACACCTTACGATCACGTTAATCGTCTAAATTGCCGTTATTAGTCTAGGGAAAATCCTCACTGGATGAGAGAAGAACATATTTGTTGGCGATCATATAATAGGTCCCTTTTTCATTGATGGTAATTTGAAAGGCGATATTTATTTAGCATTGCTCAAAAATAATGTTGTGCCAACTTTAACGATCTTATATCCCGATTCATCAAACCCACAGGTTTAAGCAAATATAATATGGTTTTAGTAAGATGGAGCACCGCCCCACCGCAGAATCGAGAAATTGAAAAATATACCAGGTGTTGCATTTAAAATAAGAAAGTTGTTATTGGACACTGTTACATGACATACCCTGTATAAAAAAAAATTGTTGAAAAAATGCGCAAATAAAAATACCAATCGATGTGTCCGAGCGTTTTTCCGAACACGCCCTCATTTATTTATTATTGAATTTATTCCATTTGGTTGTTCCACACTATACCGGGTGTTCAAATTAAAGTGTTACAGCTATATACCGCCTTTTATAAAAAAAAACGTTTCAGACGAAAGTTTTATAGTTTTGTAGGGAAAAAATTTTGGCTAAAATCGTTTTTATAGCTAACCATAATATGGTCAACTTTTTTTTCGCCTAGCAAAATTTTCAAGTAGCTGTTACTCAAAAAAGTAAAATTCCAATAAAAAAATTCATTTTTATCAAGAGTTTCCTATTTTTTATGTACTTTAAGAATATGTAAAAAAAATTGGATTCCCATTTAAACAAACAAAGTAAACCTCGATATGGCCATATTATGGTCAGCAATAAAAAAATGAATTTGGACAAAATATTTCCCCAAAAAAAGCTATAAAACTTTTTTTTCTAAAATGCATATTTTTGGCGGTATTTAACTGTAACACTTTAATTTGAACACCCGGTATATTACCCCATTATAAGGTATTTATAGGCGTAGAAAAATCCTATGCATTTATAACAATCTTATATTTTTAACATGCTTTACAAATAAATGAAATGAGAGATCAAAGTATTGAATATTTATAGTAAATGAAAATTCGTTATTTGTAAGTAATTGTAGTACAATATTCTTTAAATTCCAGGATAATTACGCCTTTGTCAGCACTGATTCAGAGCTCCTGCCAAACTGCATTTATCCTAGACGCGTGGCGTCGACGATGTTCGACCACATCCCAGATACGAGAAAAACCTGGAAGACAGCTCATCACCTTTTTGCTTTTAATAAACATTTCATTATGGGTAAGTAGATCATTATATCAATACGAATAGATTTGTTTCGTCTAATTTTGAATTATTCTACCAATGCTCTAATAATATGTTTCTATAGTAAAAGGAATAGGGCCGATCTCTTCGCCTTTTAGTAATGTAATAACCAGCAGTGTTTAGTGATTACCACACTTTGGTGCGTTTTCGTCTTCAGATAAAATTACTTTCAAGTAACTGTATCCTAGTTGGTTAATAATGCAACTTGAAGTTACCAATAATAAATAATGTCAACGTAGTAAAGGAATGTTAGTGACAAATTTTATTAATACTATTTCAAAGTTTAGATTTAACGGAAAAATATTTTAAAAATTAAGAGATAGATAAAATTGGGAAATATTTCAATATTTAAATTCTAAACAATTTAAATACTAAGGGTGTTATGTTTTTACTTTTCTCTGGTGTTTTAAATCATAGATGGCGCTTCATTTAAGGACAACATTTAGTTTCATTTTTTATGTAAGGGTGTAAGGGTTTCTTCCGTCGCATCGGGTAGATTGTGGACGATTAAGTAATTAATCTTGTAGAAAGTCTTGTTTCTCAATTAAAAGGTGTTGTGCAATGTATAAATTAACAGATTTTGCTTCTAATGGTAACTGGTTTTATTTTATCTTCTTAAACTTTGAATTCAAAAACCAATTAATTAATTGATTAGAGAACATAATGTATAAAAAACTGGACATAATATAAAACATGCCGGTTTAAAATGTTAAAAAAATATAAAACAAAACAAATTATATATATTAACAGCTTAATCTACATCCTAAAATGGGAGTAAAAGTTTATATAAACATAGGTCTAAAAAGTTTCTATTCCGAGATACAGGGTATTTAAAGTGAAGTCCTGATAACATAGTTTTGTAAATATTTTCTAAACTTTTACAGATAAGTAAGTGAGATTTGGTAGAAATGCTTACCTTTTTACGCTCTATTTAATGGAATACACCCCAGTTTTTGATCATCTTCATAGGTGGGTAAATTAGGGAGGAGGGGTTAGGGTAAAAGTTTTTTTTGGTAACACTTTTTAACATTTTTGACTGTACAATTTGAAAAATCAATGTTTTCTTTATAATAAAGCTACTTTTGTTGTATTTCGCTAGAACGCAACATTTTCAAGAAAAAAGCATTTGAAAATGTCATAATATCTTATTTGAAAGTGTAAACAATAATTAGTTGGCCTGTGGAATCAGAAATTTGATTTTTTTTAATTTTGGGAAACCGGTGACTAAAGAAATTTTAGAAAATATTTTCAAAAATCTGCCATCAGGACTTCACTTGTAACACCCTGTATTTTGAAAACGAAACGTTTTTGGACCTATGTTTACATAAATTTTTACTCCTATTTTAGAATGTAAATTACGCTGTTAAAATATGACCGTCTAATTTCGGGACACCCTGTATATATATAATTTGTTTTAACACTAAATGTACGACTATTTCGCGTAGAGATTTAAATGGTCTATTTGAGAACTATAAGCTAATGTTGTGACCAACGTGATTGTCAGCACACCTCCCTATATATTATATTTTTGCGTATACCTATTGTTATGTATTCTGCTTATCGAGTGTGATTCATTTAATTAGAAAATGTTATATTTCTGCTTTTTAGGTAAGATCGAATAAAAGAACCGATTTGTATTTTAGTCATACATACGCCGGCAGGCAAATACATTGTTTTGTTCAGAGTAAAATAAATCCGTTAATTAATTAATTCAGTCGTTTTGTTTTAAAACTTGCTGTAACATATCAGAAGTGCGGGATAACCTACGTGTTAAAAATGAGTGACAATAACGAATCTGATCATAGAAGTGACCAAAATTGTGACGAAAATTATAACAAACGAAAAAGCCACGAAAACATGAAACAAAAAAGAGAAAGAGTGCGGAAAAGATATTCGAGCTCGTCTAGTTCGACTAGTAGTAGTGACAGTGAATCGGATTACGTGTCCAGAAAATCCAAAAAGAAAAGAATCGAAGATATAATTGCCAAGAAAGTGCAAGCTGTTATCGGGCAAATGCAAATTCAGACAAATGATTCATCGACAAAAAATGTAGTAGTGCCGCAGCAATTGACGGGAAGCTCGGAAAATTTTTCCCATTGTGAGTTGGTGCCAAATTTTGACCCGGAAGCTGGCGATATTAACGCCATTACGTGGCTGAATAAAATTGAACAGTTGGCATTAATTTATAGCTGGACTGATCTAAAGAAATCATACTTTTTACAAACTAAGCTAGCCGGAATGGCCAAAATTTGGTACAATGGGCTGTTGGAATACAACAAAACCTGGGAAGAATGGAAAGAGGCTGTACTAAATGCATTTCCATCACACGCATATTTTGTTGACAATTTAAAGAAAATGCTCGATAGAAAGAAAACAACAAAGGAAAGTATGCTCCATTATTATTATTCAAAATGCATGCTTATCAGAAATTGTGACATCTCGGACACCAATGCGGTTTCTTGCATCATTGACGGTCTACCGGCGGAACATCAAGGCACCGCCAAATCAGCCAACTTTAAAACACCGGACGAACTTTTTCGTGGATTTTTGTGTAAATTGGACAAGGAGGGAGCCGAAAAAAATGACCCCAAAAGTCATTTTAAGAGGGACAACTTTAGAGACAACACCCAACTTTGCCTAATTTGCAAAAAACCGGGACACCAAGCCAGAAATTGTTTTTTTAAGGATAGCCATCATAAAGCTGGAGTGTCTTCAGACAGAGTCCACGACATAAATGTAAAGGAGTGCACGTACTGCAAGAAACGGGGCCATTTAAAAGAGGCTTGTTGGAATTTAAAGTCTGCAAAGGTGCATTTATTAAAAAGGTCAGTACAAAATAAAAATTTTCATTTCAATGTCTTAATTAATAACTTACCATGTCGAGCCTACTTGGACACAGGCAGTGAACTGAATGTGGCACGCTCTTCACTTTTAAATAAATTTCAAAATATCGTTTTAAAAACTTCAGATATTGTAGTCAGGGGTTTTGGTGGCGAATTTTTATTTCCGAAAGGGAAAACCGACTTAAAATTTACTTTCAACGAATTTTCTATAAAGTCCCAAGTACATTTTGTAGATTTTGATTTGGGTACCACAGAAATAATAGTGGGCCAGCCTATCATCAATCACAGAGATGTTTTATTAACAATACAGGGAAATTCTTTTCAAATACAAAAGTACACTCCAAAGACTAAAATTCCTATTAAGTTAAAAAGTGATGTACAAATCCAACCACATTCAGCTTTGTCTGCGCCCGTACAAATAGTCACAAATAGTATGTTATTATTTACTGCCACCACACAGAGTAACAAAAACGAAAACTATTCTATCCCTAGTTGTATAATTGATAAAAATCAAAACACAGTGGTAGTCATTAATAATAGTTCTCAAAAATTATGCATGCAGAAAGGCAAAATTTTGGGACGTGCCTTTCAAATTAATTTACCTAAAAATCACTCTGAAATATCACAAATTAAATCTGCTATGTCTTTAAATATTGCTGAAGTTAAACTCAACAAGGTAGTGCTAAGCGAAATGGAACAATCTCGCTTTTTCAAGCTATTGTCAACCTATGAAGACTGTTTTGCTAAAAGCACGGCTGAATTAGGCTTTACAGATTTAATTGAATTTGAAATAAAGTTGGAAAAACCGGAACCAATTTTTTATCGCCCATATCGGTATTCTGAGTGTGATAAAGCCATCATAAGAGCAAAAGTTAAAGATCTTCTGGATAATAATATAATAAGACCCTCAAATTCTCCTTTTGCTAGTCCTGCTGTTCTTGTAAAAAAGAAAAATGGCGACCATCGTCTGTGTGTCGATTATCGCAAATTAAATTCGCAAACTATTAAGGATAGATATCCTTTAAATCATATAGAAGACCAAATAAATTGTCTGAGAGGAAAACAATATTTTACGAGTCTAGATCTGACCCAAGGCTATTATCAAATTAAAATGTCACCGGACTCTGTAAGCAAAACAGCCTTTGTGACCCAAGATGGTCAATTTGAGTTTTTGCGCATGCCATTTGGCGTCTCTAACGCACCAATAACATTTCAGCGACTAATAAACAATCTTTTTACCGAATTAAAAGATCAAATAAGTCTATATTTGGACGACATTTTGATTTCCTCTGATACAATTGAAAATGGTCTAAATACTTTAAAAAGAGTGTTGGAAATTTTAAAAAACGCGAATTTAAAATTAAATATCGAAAAATGTTATTTTTTTGAAACCAGTATCGATTACTTAGGGTATGAAATTAGTCTAGAAGGAATTAAACCAGGACAACACAAAATAAACGCTGTAGCAAATTTCCCAAAACCAAAAACTTTACATCAACTGCGTCAGTTTTTGGGATTAAGCTCATATTTTAGAAAATTTATTAAAAATCATGCTATGATCATTTCCCCTTTAAGTAACTTATTAAAAAAAGATGTTTCTTGGACTTGGTCAATAGAACAGGAAAATGCATTTAACGAAATTAAAAAATTACTGACCTCCAGACCGATTCTCAGCATCTATAATCCAAGTCTAGAAACTGAACTTCATACAGATGCTAGTTCATCTGGAGTTGCAGGTATTCTATTACAAAAACATGGGAATGTCTTCAAACCAGTCATGTACTTTAGTAGGGCTACCAGTAGAGACGAAAAAGTTTTTCATTCATATGAACTGGAAACACTAGCTGTAGTCGAGTCAATAAAAAGGTTTCACATTTATTTAGCAGGAATTAATTTCACAGTTATAACTGATTGTGCTGCAGTACGCTCTACATTTACAAAACGTGATTTACTGCCTCGTATTGCTCGATGGTGGTTAAATATTCAGGATTATGATTTCGAAATAAAACATCGTCCTGGAATTAAAATGCTACACGTTGATGCTCTCAGCCGCAATATACCAACAACAAGCACATTAATTATTGGAACAGACGATTGGTTTTTAAGCATTCAATTGCAAGACCCTGCACTAAAACTAATTTGTAAAAAATTAAAATCTGACGATTGCGACAAACAAACTAAAAATACCTACCTCATAAAAGATCACAGACTTTATAGGAAAACGGCCGATCAAAAAGAAAAACTTGTTATTCCAAAATCGGCACGATTTAATATTCTCAGGAAATATCATGACGATGTGGGTCATTTAGGTTATAAAAAATGTGAGTCGCTAATTAAAAGCAAATTTTGGTTCCAAAGTATGACAAAATTTATCAAAAAATATGTTAGTGCGTGTTTAGACTGTGCCTATAAACGTGGTCAATATGGTCGAAAAGAAGGGTTTCTTTTCCCAATTGATAAACCTGATCAGCCTTTACACACATGGCATATTGATCATCTGGGTCCATACACTAAAAGTATCGGTGGATATTGCTATATATTAATGGTAGTTGACTCATACTCAAAATATTTATTTGCAAGACCTTCAAAAACCGTAAGATCTGGTGAAACAATAAAAATTTTGAAAGATCTTTTCAGCTTATTTTCTGTACCTAAAAGAATTGTTTCAGATTGCGGAAAGGCTTTCAAAAGTAAACAGTTTAAAGAGTTTTCTCAAGAATATAAATTCAAACATGTCCTAAATGCTGTAGCTTCACCCAGATCAAATGGTCAAGTGGAAAGGTATAACCTGACATTAACAACTGCCATTAATACTAGTGTATCTGACGAAAGCGAATGGTGTTTAGTTCTGCCCGATGCAGTATGGGGTATAAATAACTCTATAAATTTTAGTACAGGGTTGACACCCCATAAGCTAATGTTTGGATTTGATCAATTAAAACACCCTGATTTAGACCGCAATACAGCAAAGGTAGACAGAACACAAGACTCACAGATCGCAAAAGCGAATATGGACAAACAAGCATTAAAAATGAAACAACATTTTGACTTAAAACGAAAACCGGCAAAATCCTATAAAGTTAATGATCTAGTACTTTGGTCGGGTTCAGGAAACGCACAAAAAGAAGTGTGTAGGAAAACCGGACTTAAGTTTGGTGGACCGTACAAAATTAGTAAGACTCATCCAAATGACAGATATGAAATTTCAGCTCTAAAAGGCATGAAAGGTTATAAGAAATATTCAGTTACTGTCCCAGTAGAGCAGTTAAAAATGTATACTGGTGGAGTTTGGGAACACTCCGACTCAGATAGTACAGTTAATAGTACGGATGAACTTATAGATCTCTTAGAGGGCTAAAAACCTACAAAATAAGAGCTCTAATGAGAGCATAAAAACATAAAATCAAAGCTCTAATGCGAGCATAAAAACATAAAATCGAAGCTCAAATGCGAGCATAAAAAAAATATATAATCAAAGCTCTAATGCGAGCATAAAAACATAAAATCAAAGCTCAAATGCGAGCATAAAAACATAAAATCAAAGCTCTAATGCGAGCATAAAAACATAAAATCGAAGCTCAAATGCGAGCATAAAAAAATATATAATCAAAGCTCTAATGCGAGCATAAAAACATAAAATCAAAGCTCTAAAACCTACAAAATCAGAGCTCTAATGGAAATATAAAACTATTACACATATAATAAAAAAAAAAATGTACCGTAATTACAAAAAAAAAAAAAAAAAAAAAAAAAAAAAAAAGCAACAAAAAAAGTTATACACATTTTATTATGTAGCAAAATAAAACAATTTTCTTTCAGGGACAATAAAAGGAAGTCGAGGACGACCAAGAAGTAGGATGGCCGAGTGTTGTGACCAACGTGATTGTCAGCACACCTCCCTATATATTATATTTTTGCGTATACCTATTGTTATGTATTCTGCTTATCGAGTGTGATTCATTTAATTAGAAAATGTTATATTTCTGCTTTTTAGGTAAGATCGAATAAAAGAACCGATTTGTATTTTAGTCATACATACGCCGGCAGGCAAATACATTGTTTTGTTCAGAGTAAAATAAATCCGTTAATTAATTAATTCAGTCGTTTTGTTTTAAAACTTGCTGTAACACTAATGATTAAAACAACCTAAACCAGAGTTTGACGTTAAGTTAAATGCAAAGTAGAGCGAGCAAAGTAGGCGCCCCATCAACAAATATTTAAATAAAATTTCGCATTAACTGACTTCGAATTTTTTCCTTACAAGAAATTAACTTTTCTTCATTTCAATTACTTTTTAAATTGTTGTGTTTTTTTTTAGGTTGTTAATCGAGTTAAAAACAACAGATCTGCCTTCCATCCGAATCAAATGGATTTTTACGGGATACTGGCTTGGAATATAATTACTCACGTGTCGATGCCACTTGTTGTTTCCTACAGATTCCAGGCCACCGTTTGTTTTTACGAAATATGGAAACACGTGTACAAACGACCCATTAAACCCGATTTAAGTATACATCAAAGTGATGTTCTTACATAAAATTCATTCATTTGAACGAACATTTACCTTACGGATAGCCTCAGTAACTACGACTTTTTGTAAAAGTTGTAAGATAAAATTTTATTTAAAAAATGCGTTTTATTTATTAATTTAAACGCCCTGGATATTCATTCGATAATTGAACGAATATTTGTTTCTTCCTATTTTTCCAATTTATCGGATGAATAAATTATATTCTAAAAAAGACTGTCGGATCATTAGTAAGTTCTTATGGTAAAATTGATACCCAATACAAACAGTGCTACAGATATAAGCTTCACTAAACATTTGTGTAATGTGGTAAATGTGCCAAAACCAATCTTACATGAAAGTGTCATAAACAAGTATAATATCAAAATGCCCAAATTGTAATCAAATAATTGTACTTAAAATAAAAGAGCACTTAGATTAATCATCTTCCGATAATAACGGTACTAAGCAAAAATATATTCCAAAACGAAATTAAACCTTCACTTTTTTAATGCTAAATTAAGTAATTAAATCAAACTAAAAACAAAATTATAAGGTAGAAAAATGTATCTTTGATATACAGCAATCATCATGGAACAACACATCAGAAAATACAAGAAAAACCATAGTGGTGGGAAATGATGAACTAAAAATATACTTAAAATTATAAATGAGTTACTACAAAATTTATAAAGGGAGCAAATGACACGTTACATGACAGAGTTAATAAAAATGAGAGTAAGGACTATAAAAATATGGAAAAAAAAAAATAAAATAGGGAAAAAATAAAATAGAATAAAATAGATTAAAATGAAATAATATAAAATAAAACAGAATAAAATTGAATAAAATAGAATAAAATAGAATAAAATAGAATAAAATAGAATAAAATAGAATAAAATAGAATAAAATAGAATAAAATAAAATAAAATAAAATAAAATAGAATAAAATAGAATAAAATAGAATAAAATAGAATAAAATAGAATAAAATAGAATAAAATAGAATAAAATAGAATAAAATAGAATAAAATAGAATAAAATAGAATAAAATAGAATAAAATAGAATAAAATAGAATAAAATAGAATAAAATAGAATAAAATAGAATAAAATAGAATAAAATAGAATAAAATAGAATAAAATAGAATAAAATAGAATAAAATAGAATAAAATAGAATAAAATTAAATAAAATAGAATAAAAAAGAATAAAATAGAATAAAATAGAATAAAATAGAATAAAATAGAATAAAATAGAATAAAATAGAATAAAATAGAATAAAATATAATAAAATAGAATAAAATAGAATAAAATAGAATAAAATAGAATAAAATAGAATAAAATAGAATAAAATAGAATAAAATAGAATAAAATAGAATAAAATAGAATAAAATAGAATAAAATAGAATAAAATAGAATAAAATAGAATAAAATAGAATAAAATAGAATAAAATAGAATAAAATAGAATAAAATAGAATAAAATAGAATAAAATAGAATAAAATAGAATAAAATAGAATAAAATAGAATAAAATAGAATAAAATAGAATAAAATAGAATAAAATAGAATAAAATAGAATAAAATAGAATAAAATAGAATAAAATAGAATAAAATAGAATAAAATAGAATAAAATAGAATAAAATAGAATAAAATAGAATAAAATAGAATAAAATAGAATAAAATAGAATAAAATAGAATAAAATAGAATAAAATAGAATAAAATAGAATAAAATAGAATAAAATAGAATAAAATAGAATAAAATAGAATAAAATAGAATAAAATAGAATAAAATAGAATAAAATAGAATAAAATAGAATAAAATAGAATAAAATAGAATAAAATAGAATAAAATAGAATAAAATAGAATAAAATAGTATAAAATAAAATAAAATAGAATAAAAAAACAAAAAAAATAAAAATAAATAAAAATAAATGAAAATAAATAAAAATAAATAAAATTAAATAAAAATAAATAAAAATAAATAAAAATAAATAAAAATAAATAAAAATAAATAAAAATAAATAAAAATAAATAAAAATAAATAAAAATAAATAAAAATAAATAAAAATAAATAAAAATAAATAAAAATAAATAAAAATAAATAAAAATAAATAAAAATAAATAAAAATAAATAAAAATAAATAAAAATAAATAAAAATAAATAAAAATAAATAAAAATAAATAAAAATAAATAAAAATAAATAAAAATAAATAAAAATAAATAAAAATAAATAAAAATAAATAAAAATAAATAAAAATAAATAAAAATAAATAAAAATAAATAAAAATAAATAAAAATAAATAAAAATAAATAAAAATAAATAAAAATAAATAAAAATAAATAAAAATAAATAAAAATAAATAAAAATAAATAAAAATAAATAAAAATAAATAAAAATAAATAAAAATAAATAAAAATAAATAAAAATAAATAAAAATAAATAAAAATAAATAAAAATAAATAAAAATAAATAAAAATAAATAAAAATAAATAAAAATAAAAATAAATAAAAATAAATAAAAATAAATAAAAATAAATAAAAATAAATAAAAATAAATAAAAATAAATAAAAATAAATAAAAATAAATAAAAATAAATAAAAATAAATAAAAATAAATAAAAATAAATAAAAATAAATAAAAATAAATAAAAATAAATAAAAATAAATAAAAATAAATAAAAATAAATAAAAATAAATAAAAATAAATAAAAATAAATAAAAATAAATAAAAATAAATAAAAATAAATAAAAATAAATAAAAATAAATAAAAATAAATAAAAATAAATAAAAATAAATAAAAATAAATAAAAATAAATAAAAATAAATAAAAATAAATAAAAATAAATAAAAATAAATAAAAATAAATAAAAATAAATAAAAATAAATAAAAATAAATAAAAATAAATAAAAATAAATAAAAATAAATAAAAATAAATAAAAATAAATAAAAATAAATAAAAATAAATAAAAATAAAAATAAATAAAAATAAATAAAAATAAATAAAAATAAATAAAAATAAATAAAAATAAATAAAAATAAATAAAAATAAATAAAAATAAATAAAAATAAATAAAAATAAATAAAAATAAATAAAAATAAATAAAAATAAATAAAAATAAATAAAAATAAATAAAAATAAATAAAAATAAATAAAAATAAATAAAAATAAATAAAAATAAATAAAAATAAATAAAAATAAATAAAAATAAATAAAAATAAATAAAAATAAATAAAAATAAATAAAAATAAATAAAAATAAATAAAAATAAATAAAAATAAATAAAAATAAATAAAAATAAATAAAAACAAATAAAAACAAATAAAAATAAATTAAAATATTATAGGAACAATAAGAAAACGTAAAGTAAAAAATATAGGCGAAATTCAATATAAAGGAGGAAACACATTAGGCAATCGCGGTCTCTGCTAGTCTCGACCATGCGCAGTGCAGTTTTTTCCCTATTTTATACCGCATGCATTTCCACTTGGTGTTTTCAAGCTGTGCTCGTTTGAATCGTGTTATCGTCCTATCTTTTTTAAAGGATCTCGCGAGACAAGGAGACTAACAGAGTCCGCGATGCGACTAACTAATGCGTTCGCTCTTTTAAGTTATAATTATAATCAAAAATGTTTTGATTAAAATAATTCTTACGATTTACCGCGATGATTAGCAGGATCTCAGAGATTATGTATAAAATTAATAGATTCTTGAAAAGGTATTTACATTTTTCCAGTAATTATCAGAAGGATGGTCGATAGAATGGAAGAAAAACTAAGTGAAAGTTTATACTTTTATTCTAGTCTCAATTTGTTATTCTTTCCTTAATTACAGAAGGAACAAGGGTTACAAATAGTAGTTACTTACAGTAAATCACAAAGGAAATGGAAATGGAAAGATCAGTTTATCAGATTGTCAGATAACAGATGAACAAAAATATTGTGACTCCTATGCACACAAAAGTAACAAAAATATCATCAATACTATGGAGCGACGAACTAAACATTATATCTACATCTCGGTAAATGCCTTTCAAAATATAAGTCACTGGAAAATATTAGAGAAGGTATTTCTTTAGCGGAAAATTGGGAAAAGAGCTTCTAAAGTCTGGAAATAATGTGTGTGTATCCTATGTATTGCAGGTTTCGTCGACAACGAACCAGTTTATAATCGGTTACGATGTCTCGAAACCCGGAACTTCTAGGATTGATCTTCAGTGATTCTTGAACCAGATTTGCTTCGACGACTTTAACTACTGTTTAACTTCTGAGTATGTAGTAATAAAGTAGTGGTAGGTGGACTTAAATGTTCGCGATTATCTCTTTTTCCACTCTTATTTTTTAATATCGTCTAATATATCATCACGTTCTCTCTTTGTGACCGTTACAATCTTTGTACAGGTTCTTGACGAAGAATGTACTACATATTCTTGGGTCAAGTTTGGTTGCATAAAATACCATCCAAATTTCGCAATTGTACTAATTATGTTTGGTTGTTTCTGGTTCCTTGTGGCATAAGTAGATTTCCATTGTACACATTTATTTGTTCAGATGTCTCTTTAGTGATATATTAATTATGAAGAGTGTGGGTGGCACAGTGCTTAGGCTTGACTAGCGTCATTGTGCAATCCGTTGAATTGATGGACATCTCTTAGCTCGTCAGCCAGCAAACATATTTAACTAATTTTCAAACAAAAAATTAAATTTTATATATAATTAACATAAGGCACTAAAACGCACAGAAGTCTTTTAAAATTACATTAAGAAAGTATATTTGCATTATTAATGCTAGTTGGATCCTTTTCAATAATTTTTTAATTTTGAAAATCTCACCTTAAGTTATCAGTTTAATATCATCTTTTTTATATTGTTACATGCTTGAAATACTTGGTTTGAGCCTTGGTTATTGAAAATATTCATATACTTTTTTTTTATTATTTTATTTTATTATTGTTGTAATGTTTTTCTAAAGTAAGTACCATCGTCTTTTAAAAATACATCAACAAAATGTGCTACTACAATCTGAATAAATGTAGTGAGAAAAAAAAATTGAATTTTTCTTCTTTTTTTTAGTAAAAATATCTAAAGTACCTTATAGAAATTGCATAAAAC